GATATTTATTAGGCAATGCCAAAGAATCGAGTAGTCACCATTTCTGCATAATAACTGGCAAATGTTCAAACACAGGGCAAACAAATCCCAGACAAGTTGAAGGGAGATTTGAGGGGCTACAGAAAGATTTTGTCACTTCTCCCAGGCAACCAGCAATAGGACAAGAGGGCACGGTCTTAAGCTGTACCAGGGGAGGTTTAGGTTTGATATTAGGAAGAAACTTTTTACAGAGAGAGTAATCAGGCATTGGAATGGGCTGCCCAGGGAGGTGGTGGAGTCACTGTCCCTGGAGGTTTTTAAGATGAGACTGGATGTGGCACTTAGTGCCATGGTCTGGGAACCACAGTGGTGTTGGATCAAGGGTTGGACTTTATGATCTTGGAGGTCTTTTCCAACCCAGCTGATTCTATGATTTTCAGTTGTGACCCTCACAAATCTGTCAAAAGGAAAATGGTGGGATCATGAAAGTCAACTTTGTTCCTTCTTTTCTGAAGGCTAAAACCTAAAATAAGTTATTTTCCTTAAGCTCACAAGTGAATGAGAAGTTGTCCAAGGGGTTGCTTAGTTCAGAAAAGATTTTTCTCCTCAGACTCAAAATCACCTATCATCAATCCACTGGTTTGTCGTCATTAATTTGGTCAGGAATTGATTCCACAATCGTTCCAGGTCAGATGTCTGAGCATCACTTTGCCTATTCACCATTACAACTCTTAGGTCTAATTTAAAACCAAACATACTCTCTCTCCCAGAATAAGGTTGGATATGTGTCAGCTTCTGCTAAAACTGAACAATTTGATTTTAAAAAGACCTTCAGGAACTGAAGCAAAGACCTGCCTGTGTCTCAAAACAATAAAAATGTACTTCATATCTGAATCAGAATACCCACATTAAAATACCATTTATCACAGATGTGCCAAAGAACAGCTGGCAGTGGGGGCCCATTGTACTATGACGGTGGAATAAGAGTCTTTGCCTTCCACACTACATCAGCATTTAAATCTAAATCCTTTCTAAGCCTGGTTCCTTTCCCATGACCTCCAAAATCTGGATATAATACACTGTTACTTCATACAGGTTATGACACTGAGAAAACCAAACCAAACCCCAAAACCAATCAACAACAACAAATCCCTAATGAAAACATCACAATGATTAATTGTGGGAAAGGAATTGTGAATTTCTCAGTTAAATATAAAAATAAGGACTCATGGATATTTGCCACTCTCTGCCAAACACTTCGCCAGGGCACAACTGAGAATTACCCAGAATTAGAACAAAAACTTGGTTTCAGAGTGGTCTCTTTTAGTTTTTCTCAGTCTAACCAATTAAAGTTACCAAAATAGTTTAGAAGTTTCAGTATCTTACAAACCCATCAGTAACTCCTTCATGCAAATAGGCAGGTGCAAAGAAAAGCCACCAAAGTCAGAGAACTTGCAGTAACGTTTCTCTCAATCATGTCCACATCCACTGCAAAGGAGTACCTTATTTTTACATCTGTAATTTTCGTTTTTATGTATGTAATTCTCAACACCAGAGCAGTCTGAAGTCCCAGCACCAGCTCAAGCTCCTGCTAACCGGATCACACAACATACGAGAAACCTTCTGGCCCATAATCACCACTCAAGATGACCCAGGCTTACAGTTTAATCTAATTATGATTTTAACCATCCTCAGATGCTGCCAAGTGTGCAGGTGACACTGGGCTTTAAAGGCTTGAGGGGGAAATACCCTTTCAGCTCCAGTGAGATAACTCAAAATCCCCAATAAAATAGGTACGAAGCTGCTTTGCTGACAGAAGTTCTAAGGAACCAGGGGATGGGAAACAAGGATAAATCTGCCTGCCTCTTTCAGCCAAATGGGTTTTAAAAAATAGGAAAGAACCAGGCCTTCTGGAAATACAAACTGATTTAGGAATTCTGTAGGAGGGCTGGTGTCTTGTGACATGCACTGAACAGACCTGCAGTGAAGGCTCCAATCTGGAAGCTGAAAACTTGGTTTCATACCAACATCACAGCAGGACTGGAGAGATTAGCATGAATGAAATGCTTTGAAATATGAAAAGCATTAGGTTAAGTATTAAGTATTATCAAAAGCGTAAAGATACTTGGGACAGAATGATTATTATTCACATGAATTAACTGTGAAAATATTGTTTTATTTATGAATTAAGTGCTTTTGGTATTAGCAAAGGGAACTATCGATAACCCAAGGAAACAGAAGTCCTACAGAAAAAAAAAAACAGTACAAAAAATTACAAGTAACAAAACAAGCTACTTCCAATATGGAACCATGACATGAACCAATAAATATGGCTCAGATTAACTGATGGAGACACTTTCAGGAAAGATGTTGGGTTCTTCTTTGGGTTCTTCAGTCAGGCCAGATATGAACCCGTAATTCTAGGTGAGAGGAAGGAGATTTAGTCCCATAGATGGAAAGGCTTTCTTTGACTTTTAGTTGGTGTAGAATAGGGATATTTTTGATCATGGGCTGTGCATATTTTTGATCATGGGCTGTTTTAATTACTTGTCATTGGTGTCTCTATCATCTCCAGATGAGACTCTGGAAACCTATTCATGCTAGAGCTACCTTGTGTGGAAACAGAGCTTGAGGCCTGAACTTTATCAGGTCTATGCCCCTCTCTACTGATGTCAGCTGCCAATATCCTGCCAATCTAAAACATCAAAAATAAAAGCTCTCAGTAAAGGGAGGATAAAACAACAACAAGACCTTGCCTTCCCAAATGTCCTGACAAGAGCAGTTAAGGACAGTGATTCTTTCAGCTGCATTAGCAACACAGACCTGCAAAATCTGTGGCCTCCAGAACACCAAAACTCCATTCCACTTGGAACGTCTGAATTTTGGGACTCTAGTAGATATAAAGGGGCACTTTTAAAAGTTGCTTAACAACTCAAACCCCTAATCATACACAGGCGTAACACCCGCTCCAAAGTGTGTGCTAAAGACATGGTGCCAAACTGTACCTGCCACAGAGAACATCCAGCTGAAACCTCTGAGAGAAAAACCTTGTATTTCACACGATGAAAAAGTCACCTCTTCATTCAGAAACTCACTCAAGGTGCTAACCTCATTTCTCTAAGAGCACTGTATTGTATGTTCTGGAGTTGTCAGGAAGTACCTGTACATTTTTTTTAACGTATGCATCATACTTCACCTACAACAGTAAAATTTTCCAGCCTCAGCAGATTTTGTTCCACTGACTGCACAATGAACAAAACCCACAACATCTAAAAAGGGCTCTAACCTTTGCAACATTTTGGCCCTGAACTCTGTTCACGCTTCTAAAACAGGAAAGTGGTTTGTTGCACGTGACATTAGTTTCTCTGTAATTTAAATATAAAATTCCTGATATCAACGGCAACCTTTTAAAAATTCATCTTTGGAGAACAGTTGAACTTCAGCAAGCTTACTACTTCAGAAAGAGCTTTGAAGTGTCTATTTCTAATCCTCCAGTCTGAATGACAAAGAAGTTATTTGCAATTGTGAATCTTTAAAATGCAGATCTGAACTGATGCCGCTCTTTTTGTAACTCATTAACACAAACCCTGCCATTCAGTCTTTACTTAATGTCTTTGTTCCATTCCAAAGTGAAGCACTAGTGCTGTCTCTTAAGGTGATTATTCTCTTGGTGAGCCAGTGTTTCCACACTCGTATTCTGAGACCCAACAAAAATTACATTTTCAAAGACATCAGAAATAACATTTGCTTTATCTGCTATTACAAAGTGACAGCCACAACCCAGGGTCCCTTATTGTTCATGTATTTTACAAGTCTGAAAATAGATGGTAATAAGATTCGCAGCTGGCAGAATGTCTCCAAAGCTGAGAAGACTTTTTCTATCAATTTATGCAAAAGCAGAAACGAGGCTCTGGGCCCCAGATCCCACAAGATCCAGCAGATACTGCTTCCAGCTTCAACAAGTTTTCATTCAGAAGCAACTGCCTCCATGTTCAACAGTGCCCCATGGATCACACAAGATCCTGTCAGCCTGTATAAATGAGAGGCCTGGTTTAGAATTACAGAGAAAATATAACACACAACTTTTGTTTGGGAGAACTAAAAACCTGCATTATCACCATTTCCCCCTGTCATCTCAAAGGGGTCACGTGTACAGATCATGATGATCCTACATGGAAAGGACTGTATATTCCCAAAAATGCACATATTTTTTATTGTAATATTAATGCTCTAGTAAAATCTACATCAGAAAACTCATCTGTGCATCCTCCCATTGGCATCTCTGAACTTGGAAAGTTACAAATCGTTGGCTCAAGAATGGCTCAAAACCAAAATGAACCCACAGTTGCTATTTCAGCTCCATTTAAGCCAGAGGGGTCTTTTTCACTTTGCTTTGGTACCTGACTCTGCCTGCTATGGCCCAGGGGATGCAGGAGCCCCACAGAAAGGCCAAATCCTACAACTCATACCTGCTCAGGATGGCAAAGCCAAAGGTGGAGGCACCAATGTTGGTTCCCAGCAGTCAGACACATAGCACTGCTTTCTGCACACTGTAAGGAATGACCCCCTAAGGATGCTGTGGGAGCTTCACCATAAGGAGTGATGCCCTAAAGCTTTGTGGGAGTCCCACCGTGACCCCGTGAAGCTGCAGCGGGACCCCAAGGATCTGCGGGAGGAGCAGGGTCCCCGCACCTTCACCCCGATACCCACTGCGGGGTCCCGTGGGACACGCACATCCATGACCCCCGAGGTCCTGCTGCCCCCTCCGAGGTCCTGCCCGGGGAAGCCCCAAACAACAAACTCCTCTGGCTTTGCACAACCGACATGCGGAACAACAGCCGCTCGTCGGACAGAGCCTCCCCGTTCCCACGGCCCTTCCCTGCCCACACCTACTTCACCCATCCACCCATCCATCCATCCGTCCGTGCATCCCTGCATCCCTCCCTGCCCACCGGGCGGGGAGCGCCGAGGGGCGGGCGCGGCCGGTCCCCGCGGGGCGGGCGGGCGCTGTCGCGACTCACCTCCTGAAGTCAAAGGGCATGTTGGTGGCGGGCGGGCTGCGGGCGCCGCCGCCCCCGGCCCCGGCTCTCGCCTCGCTGCCGCCGCCGCCGCAGGGCCAGGAAGTGACGGCCCCGGCCCCGGCGCGCAGCACCAGCCCATTGGGCGGCCGGGCCGGCCGGGGCTTCCGCCGCCGGGTTACGGGAGCGGCGGGCGCGGGGTGCGGGATGCGGGGTGCGGGATGCGGGGAGCGGGATGCGGGATGCGGGATGCGGGGAGCGGGATGCGGGATGCGGGATGCGGCTGGTCCCAGCCCGAGGCAGCGGCAGCACCCCGGCCGCCCCCGCAGCTTGCCGGGTCCCCTCGATGCCCGCGGTGCCCCGCGGCTCGGAGTGCCCCGCTGCCAGCACGGAATCACAGAATCGTTCAGGTTGGAAAAGACCAACGAGATCATCGAGTCTGACCTGTGACCGACCACCACCTTGTCAACCAGACCAGAGCTCTTGAGTGCCACGTCCAGTCTTTCCTTAAAGAACACCTCCAGGGATGGAAACTCTGCCACCTCCCTGGGCAGCCCCTTCCAATGCCTAATCACCCTTTCTGTGAAGAAATTCCTCCTGATGTTGAACCTAAACCTCCCCTGGCACAGCTTGAGCCCATTTTCTTGTCCCCACTTGTTGCCTGGGAGAAGACAGTGACCCCCACCTGGCTACAACCTCCTATCAGGGAGCTGTAGAGAGTGAGAAGATCCCCCGAGCTTCCTTTTCTCCAGGCTGAGCCTCCCCAGCTCCCTCAGATGCTCCTCACATGCATGACTCTTCAGACCTTTCCCCAGCTCTGTTGCCCTTTTCTGAAGACGCTCCCACTCCTCAATGTCTCCGTTGCAATGAGGGGCCCAGAACTGGACATATCACTAGAGCTGTGGCCTCACCAGTGCCCAGCATGGTGGGAAGTGCTGAGTACAAGGAGCACTCCAGGGCATCCTACTGTTGAGCCCCACTGTCCCCTCACTACATCCCAAGGGCCCTGTCGGTGCCCACAGACCCTCTCAGCACCTGCCACAGGGCTGGGGCTGCCCAGTGCTGACCATGCACAGGGGAGCGGGCTCAGCCCAGTGTGCTCGGCTGTCCTCAGCACTTCCCACGTTCCCTCGGCTCCTGGCAGCCCTCCTGCACTGCCTGTGGACACGGCCGCCAGCCCAGCGGGACTGCCCAGGCCCCCAGGCCAGAGCGTGGCCGCTCGCATGGGTGCGGTGCTTCAGGCTTGTCGGGCGTCTTTTGAATCCTCAGCATCGCAGTAATAACGGCCTGTGCGTGTGAATGTGGCATGATCTGTGTCTGGAGACAGAGCCAAGCCACGGTGACAGACCAGGGAAAGTCTCACGCTTCCAAGTGCCCGTGAAGGAAGGGGGAGCACCCACTCCTGCACCTCCACATATCCTTCCCAGCAGAGCATGGGAGACTATTTACAAGAGGATGTAGTGATGGGACAAGGGGGAATGGAACGCCTTCAAAACTGACAGAGTGTAGGTTTAGATTTAGAAATTCTTCCCTGTGAGGGTGGTGAGACCCTGGCACAGGTTGCCCAGAGACGCAGTGGCTGTCCCATCCTTGGAAGTGTTCAAGGCCAGGTTGGACGGGGCTTGGAGCAACCTGGGATAGTGGCAGGTGTCCCTGCCTGTGGCAGGGGATTGGAATGAGATGATCTTTAAGGTCTCTTCCAATCCAGGCCATTCTGTGATTCTATAATGAGCTCCTTTGGTGCCAGCATGGCTCTTTCACTTGCTCTTGAAAATCTTTTTTGCACTTTTATTGGAGGTAAGGGAATTAAAATAAGGAAAAGCTCTCCATTAATTAGGTGAGAAATTTCCCCAGTCTTGCCATTTTGCCTAAATGCTTTTTTCTTGCATCCCTGCCAGGTTCAGTGCAATACACATGGCTAATCCTGCATTGCTTCATGCACCACCTCAGGTACTTCCCATATTAATGTCACCAGCTTGTAGCATCCATCAGGGACTTTTTGCTGCAGGTAGTGTGATTGCTCCTGTATTCAGAATTGCTGTCACTCACATACAGTGCACGTTAAATTGCAGTGCAGGAACAAAATACAGCTACTCTTGCTTTTTAAATCTAAAAGCAGGGCAAGAGAAAGAGGGAAACTACAGCAATCTAAATATGCTCTGTGCAACATACTGCATTTCTAATTGATTCTGCAGCTTTCTTCCTCCTGCTGTCATCATCCCTTTACTTAGAGATGTACATCTTTCCGTTTTTAACTTTCACCCACAAACTAGGCGCATACCTGGATAAAAAAAGAAATTCAGATCGAATTTACCAAAGACTCAGAGTTGTTAATCAATGCCATAGTCTTTCAAAGGAAGATATAATAATTCATGTTAGGAGTGTTAAAAACTAAACTGGAGCAATCACGAATATGAGATAACATGGCATAATCCCTCAGAAGCCCCCAGGGAATAGATAAAAATAGCTAATTCTTTTTTTTTTTTTATCTCAGACACCTAAATTGTCCAACCGCAGTGTGCAAGCATATTCAGCAGATTGCTACCAGATCAGCCACGAATCCTGCTGCACTTTGCATTGTGCTCCAAAACTGAACAACCCACTGAAATTAATGAGACAATTCTCATCTCTCATGAGGTCAACCAATTGCCTTGGCATAGCCAGGGGGTACTATCTGTGGTGGAAAAACCCAAAACAAACAGTGCCTATCGAGTTAGAGTTACACAACCAAGTGCTCATTGAGCTTCTGGCAAGGCCCCGACATCATTAGCTGTTATTAACTGTCTTGTGCAAAGACATCAACACTCAGGGGAGTGCTGAAGGATTTACAGAAGCTCTTCATTTGTGCCGCAGACAAATCTGGAGGTGGCCTTGAAGAGTTCTTCCTCCTGCAGGCTCAAGTGTCAACAACACAACACAGCGAGAGCTCACATTGTGGAGGTTTTATTTTCCACTGAAAGGTCAAACTCTGAAGAAAGCAATGGGCTCACAGCTGCTTTCCAGTTGGGCCCAGCTCACTTACATCCTCGTCGAGGGAAGAAGAAGTTAATGCCCTGAGATAAGACCCTCGTCACAGTATTGTTTAATTACATAAGGCTTCTATCGAGCTTGAGATAAGAACAGGAATTTGTCGGCAGTCCAGCTGGGTGGGGCAGCTTAGCTCATGTTGTGTGTTAGAAAGGGAACCAAAAGCAAGGGGTTTAGTCGAGGTGGTTGTCAAATCATTAGAACTGGAATGAGTAAACTGATACTGACAACTGATTTAAAAGTTAATTTTCTTTTTCATGTGAGCAAAACCCAACACTTTCCTGACAACTGTAGACCTAAAACTATCGTTTCTCTTCAAATTGCATTAGGAACATTAACTGAGCAAAACTGCTACTCTGAAATCAAGTAAGTCAGTATTTTCAGAACTCTTTAACAGTGAAGAAACCAAAGCAGGGGGATGAATTGACTCACCTAAGACTACAGAGTAAGATCAGCTTCAGCTCTATAATTAGCAAACAAATCCCTTCATTCGTAATTCTGTGTTCATAATTCATGCAAAAAAAAAAGAATATTTTCCTCATTCCAGTTCACTTTCTTATAGATAAATCAGATCATGGATGACTCTATCTGGATTCCTAACTAATGCCTCACAACAACAAAACTGATACCTCCTTCCTATTAAAAAAAAAGTGACCAAAAAATGCTTTGTTTGAATCATCTTCCTGGGTATTTATTTCATAAATTTGTTTATGGAGGTAAAATGATTCATCTTCAGGTTTCTGAGATATTCTTAATTTCTAGATTATACATTATTCTTTAGTTTTAACTTCATATTAATAGAGTTTATATTAATACTAATTTGTAGAGTTTATATTAATAATTGGTAATTCAGCCTGGAGAAGAGGATACTGAGGGGAGACCTCATAGCAGTCTACAACTTTCTCATAAAGGGTAGTGGAAGGGCAGCACCAATCTCTGCTCTCTGTGACCAGTGACTGGACCCAAGGGAACAGCTGGAGCTGTGCCAGGGGAGGGTTAGGTTGGATATTAGGAAAAGGTTCTTCCCCCAGAGGGTGGTTGGGCACTGAACAGGCTCCCCAGGCTGACAGAGCTCAAGGAGCATTTGGACAATGCTCTCAGGGACATGGTGGGATTGTTGGGGTGTCCTCTGCAGGGCCAGTTTGATGGATGCTCCTTGTGTGTCCCTTCTAACTCAGGATATTCCATGATTCTGTGGATCTATGAATTTTGCTTATCTCTATTTTGTGATCTCAAGGTTTCCTCTTTCCCAGAAAAGTGTAACCTTGATCCTTACCTGTTCAGCATCATATAACATTCTGTGACGCTCATATATGATTTCATTTGTTGTTTTATTTGTGATTCCTTACACACAGCTGAGTTTTATTTTAGCCTCTGGCTCATGGTACATCTCTTGCATTGGGAACTGTGCTGTGACTGGGTTATGAGCAGCGTTGTTTGCTAAAGGTAAAGCTGGGTACATACAGTCATCATTTAGGTCAATTAGGCTTCGTTCATCAACTGGGAATGTGCAGTGACTGTTACAGAAGGTGCAGTGCTTATTCACTTGTACCCTTTCTGATACCGAGGTGTGTTTGCTCCCAGCTGAACTGTGGGGTTTTTTTGGGGGGGTGTTGTGTGGCAGGGCCCACCCCAGGACATTTCCCCCTGTGCTTTTATTCACAGGATATGCTTGTAGCACTCGTGTCGGGGTGGGCTGGGAATTGGAGTGAGCGCATTGCTCTGCAGGGCGTGTGTGCTTGATTATGTGTTGTGTTCTGCAGGGTGTGTCGCTGGCTGCAAGGGGCATTGAACACAACTGCCGTTCAGGAAAAGGAAAAAACACTGCAGAGAATGAAGAGAAAATGTTATAAGGCATTTTAAAAATATAAATAACAGTGTGTGAGGAAATCTTTCTGAAGGAACAGGATGCGCACGGAGGTGAAGAATTCAAATACAAGTGCTGTGCTAAGTATAATCAGTAATGAAAGTTCAGCCCTTCCTCTTAGGATTTTGGTAAGCTACACGTTGGCAGTACTTTCCAAATTCCAGGGAACAAAAAAGCAAGCTTGAAGTGTTGTCTTAAAGAACT